AAAAGCATCATTTTTTTTGGCGGGGGGGGGGGGGAGGATTTTGATTCAAGCACTCTTCACAAGATTTTTCACCAGCATTTAAGAAAAGGGTTTCCTTCTATCATTATTAGAATACAACTGCCTGCACTATTATTTTGAAGCATAGTTTTGTTTTGAGAGCTCTTTTGTTTCTAAATAAGAAGCCATCATAAACATCAGAAGCCCCAAGGTGCACAAGCTCTTAGTGGCATAAAGAACGATAAAAGACCAAAAATGTTATTATTTATCAGAAAGACAAAGCTGTGGAATTAGGAGTCCTTTGAGTTAAGATTAGGACTATCAAACCTGCATTGCAAACTTCAAGGTAACTAACTGCTAGATAGCTGCAAGCAAGTAGTGGTTTCTATATCTTTTGGCATCATCTAATTATTATCCAGATTTTTGCTGCTCTGATTTGATACCCTACGAAAAATCCATCAGGCAATGAGACTCCAGCAAAATGCCCATTATCTTACTAATTTTATCTTTCTATATAAGCAGTATTAAAATAGAATCCTCTGGCAGATATGTTACTAAATCATCCAGAATTTTGACATTTACTATTAGTAGGACTCTGTAGCAGAAGAAATTTGTGTGGAAACCAGATCAAGACTGTTAACAGGTGCTAAAAATAAAACTACTCAAAGAAAACCTGAAGGAATTTGCCAGTAGTACCTCTGCTCAGTAACTCTTGAGAATGAATGACGTACCAACTCACTGGAGGAAAGGAAATGTCCCTAACTTTGAAAAGAGAGGAAAAAGGGACATGAGGAAATCCAGATTAGTTAGAATGATAAGAATAACTATGAAGATTCAAGACTAGATCATACAGAGATCTAGTCTAGTGGTAAAGGCACCAGGCTACACAGCGGGAGACTGTAAGTTCTAGCTCTGAAAGCCAGCGGTGTGACTTTGAGCCAGTCACTCTCTCTCTCCGCCCAAACCACCTCACAGGATTGTTGTTGTGAGGAAAACAGGATGTGTTGGGTTATGTTCACTCACTACCTTGAGTTATTTGTAAAAATAATAAAGGCAGGATACCAATAAACAAATATACAAATAAATAAATAATTCTTGAAAAGAACACCTTGAAAAGAAATCAGTAGGGATTTGTCAGACTAGTTCTATTTCAAATTTTATGACTTCATAGATTGAAAGAATGTTAGGAGCATAATATCGCTTGATTTCAGCAAAGCATTTGATAAAATGCTATTGCATTGTGATGACATAAGTGATCAAAAGCTACCTTGAAAACAATACTTAAAAGTGTTCCATCAATAATTCTTCATCAAGTAGAGTACCGCGAAGTTTGATTCTGAGCCTGGCACTCTTAACATTTTCATTAATAGATTTGAAGAGGGGAAGAGAATTATCTAATTTGCAAATAACACAGAAATGGATGGAAGATAACATTCTATGGAAGACCAAAACAATATTCCAAATGATGCTAGCGGGTTAGAGAAATTGACTGAAAATAAAAGAATGAACCCTAATAGAGAGAAATGTAAAGCTCTTCTCTTAAGAAGTCACATGCACAGGGTAGGGTGGGAGGGAATAATTTGATAATTGTACACGTGAAAATGATCTTGGAACTTATCACAAGCCGAATGTGAGTCAGCACGATGACGTGGCTGCTAAAACAACAACAAACTTAGGCTGCATCAGTCCAGGTAATAAAATAATGATTTCATATTATTCCGCACTGGTCAACCCCATTTCAAGTACTATGTCCACCTCCAAACACCAAGTTTTAAGAAAAGATATGAGAATAGGTACAGAAAAGGGTAATAAAGACTGAGGAGAGGCTGAGTAAGGGGATATGACAGGAGTTTGCTAATGCCTGAAGGGATGACATAAATCTGATCTATATCATCCCAGGGAGTAGGACCCAGAATAAGTGTCTTGTTACAGGGAAACAGATTTTGGCTGAATGATGGGGGGAAACTGAACAGCAACAGCAGCTTAACTGGGAACAAATACCCAAGAGGTGAGCTTCATTCTATGGATGTGTTCAAGCAGAGACTACTCAGATTTAAATTTGGATTCTTGCACTGAGCATGGAGCTAATGACCTAAATCGCCTCCATGATTCTCTGACATTTAGAAAATTAAGACTGGGGTGTCAGGAATACTGCAACTGTTGGGGGCGGGGGGGGGGAGGTAATTCCTGAAACACCATCCAGTCTATTCCACAGAGCTGTATGCAAGGTCTTCCAACCCAGATGGCCCTGGGGACACATCTCCTTCTTGCAGTGTTTTGGGCTTCAGGCACAGGGGCCCAGCATGGTAGGGAGCTTGCCACTCGTTATTTTCTCCTGTAGATTTCTGCTTCATGAGTGTCCATTACATGGGGTAGACCACTGCAGTGATTCAATATTTGTGAGGGGTCTGTGTGGCGGTCCCAGGGTTACTATCCCACTCCCCAAGCAATACAGTGCTTATAGTCGAAAGGGGGATTGGTGAAAGTTAAAAGTCCACATCCCTCCCCTCAAAATGGACAGGCACTGACATGAAGGGCGGGAAAGCTCTCTGCACATGCTCAGAAATTTGCACACCGGTTTCACATCATTCAGAGCTAAGCCCTGGCTTGAAGAACAGAGGTCTAGCGTCAGATCTGTCCAATCCAATGCTGAGGGGATAGCGAGGGGGGGGGAGAGAAGAAAGGAAAGGGGGGCCCTTACAAAACGGCCCTCTGGGTAATAATGGGGATCGCTCAAGGTAGCCCAAATCATGGCTCTCCTCTAAGGAAGAGCAGATCTTAAGGAATCCGGCGTCCTCAGCAGGCGGTCGGGAAGGGCCCCTGGCCTTTCGGCGGGTCCCCCATTTCTCTCCCCACCTGGCGGCCGGGTGTCCCGCCCAAGCCACTCCTTCCTTACCTCATCCCCCTGGCCAAACTGCAGCCCGAGGGCCACGAAGTGTTCCACCCGGATGAAGCCGTCAGCGTCTTCGTCACACACATCAAAGACCTCCTTGAGTTTCCGCAGTAGCTGCAGGAGACGCGGGGGCTCTTCGGGGCCGCCGGGCTCCATCGCGCCCTTGGGGGATTAGCTGGGAGCCGCGGGCGAGAGGCTCTGCCGCTCCATCGTAGCAGCCATGATCGCGGGCGGGCGGGCGGGCGGGCGTACGACCCGATGGGTCCTATACTCGCTGCTCTCGCCGATGCCTTCAGCCAGAACAGGCAGCGGATGACATCAGCAAAGGGAGGAGAAAGACGCGGAGGATGGGTTGGGGAGGTGGCGGCGGTGCGGGAGAAGGGAACAATGAGGGAGGCAGGGAGAGGGAAGGCAAGAGGTCAGGCGATGGATGGGAGCGGCGGAAGGATGCACATCAAAGGGAAGATGCCCCCAGAATTCCGAAGGGGAATGGCCGGGGAGTGGGAGGTGGCGGTACCAAGAGCACAGAAAGCTTCCCATCTCCGCGCTCGCTGACCCTCTGTCTGTATCCTCACAACCCACTCCTGAATTCAGCCAGAAAACAGAAACTGCATGGCTGACGATCCAGATTACAGCTTCAAACCTGGGGTACATAAGGAAATGGGAGGAAAAGCACATTTAAGGTCACAGTCAATGGATATTTTCATTTAGATTTTTTCCCCTGCTCCCCCCCCCCCCAATATACAACGCAACGCAGTGAACATACCGATGCTCCTTCCTCCTCATTTCACAACAACAACAACAACAACAACAACAACAACCCCATGAGGGAAGCTGGGCTAAGAAAGAATAATTGACCAAAGTTATGAGGCAAGCTTTCATGCCTAAAGTGGGACTAGAACGCCCAGTCTCCTGGTTTCTAGGCCAATCACTATATCATATACCCTTTAAAAAAATGTAACACCCTTTCAAACAAGAATAGGGAATCAAATATCATTGGACTACGAATCCCATTGCCCGTCATTGTGGTCAATACCCAGGGATGGGGGGGGGGGGTTTGTAGTTAAACCATATCCAGAAAGCCTCGTTTGCCACCTCTGTTCTATGGAACATTCACTGTCACATAAGTAGAGTGTTGGGTGCAGAATAGGTTCCCCATTCCTCACCCCCTCCTTTTTGAACTCTCAATGAGAAGTGAGGATTTTAATTAATTTTAGTAATCGAGACCCAGATGTGTTAAATACATTAATATTCAAAAGGGGAGCTTTTATGGATAGTCCTGAGAAAATCCTCTAGTTATCATCTTAATTGTGAATAAAACAATACAGTTAAAACTTATTAACTGTAGTTCAATTGACTAGTGATCAGAATATTGAATTAACTAGATTGGCTACAATGAATCTTGCTTCCCGATGGTTTCATGGACATTCTGGCCAGAGGATGGAAAGACATTGCCACTGCTGCCTTGTGGGTTACGTTTTTTAATTCCTTGGAACAGACCTGCAGTTTCTGTGTTCTTTTCCATCTAGGTCCTAACTTGATTACACTATTTCTCCAAAACATCAGCTAGATCCTAAAAGTAGTTGTGATGCACATTGTTCTTCCATGGCTTAGGAATTATACGAATTAGTCAAGTTTCAGAATGTAGTATCTCACTAGAAAAACCTCACAAGGAGTGTTCATAAATCAGCTTCATCAAATTTGAGTGGGATTTACTCCTACTCAGTTTACTCCTAATTTACTTACCTAATTTACTCCTAGGTAAGTGTCTGGAAAGTTCCTCAACATTATTTGAAAAAGAAGAACCAGCACTGAGAAACTAGTTCTCAGGTCATGTACATTTGTATTTCATTATTCAAAGCAAAAGTTGGGGAAGGAAATCTAGATATTTAAAGAGTTGGAATAATGCCAGGATTTTTGACAACTTATTAGCAGGGATTGCTTGTTAATGACTTCACGTGGCCCTTACAGCCATTTTCTGTCCCTTGTGATTTTTGTGAGTGATGTTTTGAAGCACATTTGGGGGCTTTTGAGTGCTCTTTTTCTTTCCTGGAAAAATTAATGTTTACCATAAGGTTTGGAATCAGCCTAGATTCTGATAGCAAAATGATTCCTCCTGCCTATGATGACACTGAAAATGCCAAAGAAGAAAAGAGAAAAATAAAAGCTCAAATCCATCCCCCCAAAGCATGGCCCTTCTCAAAGTCTTATCAAAGATCAAGCTGTTTTTCTTTAAACTTTTTCCAATTTCAAGGGATCTTTCTTGTTAATGTGAAAATGTGCAGGAGGAAAAGAGCTATTTTGCATATTTTTCTAGGTCTCTTTTGTGCCTTTTTTTAAAAGATAGGAATATGTTATATAATTTAAAAAAAACTTGTTCAAACACATGTCATACTTCTATTACAAGAGAGATTCCATGCTTACATAATCCTATCCTGGCAATAAATTTTGCGGCAAGGAAAAAGGAGATGAAATACAAATGAAAATCAGAATTTGCTGACCTCAATTCATAGAATCTTATGCAAAGGGGCTTGACTTGAGCTTCCCCTAGAATTGATACAGGGACTCCAAAGATCTTTAGATGCCATTCTCATCACAGAGTCCTTCAAAAATTATCAAGTTCTGTCTTTAAATGTGGCAAGAAGGAAAACATAATTAAATACAGGACCGAAGACTATCTTATTAGTTACAGTTATTTGTAACTAATTGGATATAAAATGAAGAGAGTTGTAGGTTTCGCTGCCTACTCCTTTTGGGCGGGGGACAACAGTTAAAGGCTGATTGCCGCCCTTGACCCAAAAATAACTCTGTATCCTTGAATGCAGTGGTGGGTTTCACATTTTTTTAGAACCTCTTCTGTAGGTGTGGCCTGCTTTGTGGGAGTGGTTTGCCAGCCATGCAACTGGGTGGGAGTGGCTTGGCAGTCATGTGACAGGATGGGAGTGGCCAACTTGTAAAATGTGGTGAAACTCACTTAACAACGGTCATGCTTAGCAACCAAAATGTTGACTCAGGAACTCTGGCATTAAAGTGTGCAAGTCTTAAAGCTGTCAAGTTACAAGACCCTTGCACCCCTAATCCTTTAGGGGGAAAAACCCCAGGGGTATTCAAACTTGACAGCTTTAAGACTTGTGGACTTCAACTCCCAGAATTCCTCCTCTCGCTCTTCATCTTGATGATGTGCAGACAGGCGGGGGGATGGTGCTGGTTCTAAACGGCACTGTAGATTTGTGGAACCTCTTCTATAGAAGAGGTTAGAACTGGCAGGAACCCACCCCTGCTTGAATGAATGTTCATGGAATATCACTACCCTGTTTCCTTGAAAATAAGACCTCAGATAATAAGCCCAATCGGGCTGTTGAGTACATGCGGTAAAATAAGCCCTCCCCTGAAAATAACCCGACCCCAAAAATATTGCAACACAGCAGCAACCATGAGGTGACCACGCTGGCTGCCTCTTGCACCTCAGAAATAATAAGACTGCCTGAAAATAAGGCCAAGCACTTATTTTTGGGGTCAAAAGAAAATAAGACCCTGTTTTATTTTCGGGGAAACACAGTAGTTAAAATGAATGGTCCCCTCTGGATATTTTGCAGGAATTGTGGTTCTGCCTGGATTATCGCTCTTTCTTTCACCACACTGCCCTGTAAGAGTATTATTTTGGACATTGTTGCTTTAATGACATTCTTAATAATGTGCCTCCCTGCCTCATTAAGCTGGATTCACACATCCCATTAAGCCATTTGTTTGATTTTTGCTTATTACATTGTGTGAACTAGCCGATTTATCTTATTTAATAAGCAGAGTTCCAAAAAAAACAACCCTCCACCCTGTGATTTTGAAATCAACAATCAGGAGTTTTCAATCTCATTTATGGTTAACATATTCAGTGGACTCCCCAAAAATTGTCTCTTCTTCAAAATACAATGACTAAAATAAACTATGGCTTGGTGCCAGTATCTTACTATCAATTGAGCTAGTAAAAGAAGGTGTTTACATATAAAAAAAGATATAAACTGCTCTATATCTCGATTAATGAGCTCATGCAGCCCTCCCAAGCTGATTTCTTCCAGATGTGTGCTTTGCAACCCACATCCTCTTTAGACAATAAGGCCATGTTAGCTGGGGGCTACAGTCTAAAACATCTGAAGGACATCAGCTTGAGGAAGGCTAGGATAAATGAGCATTGCTGGAGCCTAAGATACCCAACGCAGTAAAAAAGGAAGTGAAGAAGGATGGAGCCCAAGAACCAGATATTCATGAAGTTGGATTACCTCATCAGGTTCACATCGAATACAGACAGGAGCTCCTAGTTTTTCTTTTTGCTCTCTGGCAGTTAAAACTGGTCCTGCCTAATCAAGGAGACCATTCCACATTGGGCGAAACAGCTGGGCCGGAGGGAATGTAGCATTTGCACGTAACTTTTATGCCTAAAAATTAATTGGGGTACGTTTCCTGCACTAGTCAGTGAACTGCAGCTGAATGAGATTGTCAGTGACAGTCTTTCCCTTCCTGATCCGTCTCTGGATGGAGATGAGGAACGGCTGTCAGCTGCTCCTTGAATGTGAACTTAGGCAAAGGAGATCATGCGGAAAGTGAGGATGGCACTGTTGAAACTGCTGGAGGCTACAGTAGAAGATGCTTGGTTTGGCTCTGAGGTCAGATGGAAGTCTCCAAGGAAGCAGAAAAAAATTAAGCAGAGCTCGGAGAGCAAGGAACAGTTTTCACAAAAGTCTCCGACCACAAAACACAGAAAGCCAACCCTCAGCCCTTTTGGGCGCTTGGGAGAAAACTCCCTCAGTATTTGGAGCTTGACCACTAATGTCACCATTAGTGGCCAAGCTTTGAGGGCTAGTAGGGTAGAGAGTAAGGAAGATGACTTTGGCAGAGATGGGGAGGAATTGTTGCCAAAAGGGGCTGAAGCACCTTTAAACTCCAGAACAAGGTCACATTCAGAAGTAGCTCAGACAGATGCCTCCACTAAAGTAGAAAAACAGGAAAGAGGTACAGCATAATCGGAATGTGTTATTAAACTCATGGATAATTTTAAAAAATCATAACTTTCCTGTGGAGTTGATTTCCTGTTCAGGTCCATCTAGTTCAAACTCAAGACCCCACAGGGTGCTTAGACCTGGAAACAGCGAAGGACCAGCCTG